CCACACCTGTGGCAGCATCAACATCTGGGGCAACACCTGGCATCATGCAGTGTACCTGGTCTGCAACTACGCCATTAAGTAAGTGCAGCACAGAGGCAGCTGGCTGTGGTGTGGGGGTGAGGGGTGGACCCTGAGTGGAATGGGCAGAATTCCAGGAAAAGGAAGCTGCCCAGAACACTCTGCCTTCTCCCATTCTAAGTAACCTTAATACCGTACAATCTGGTAGTTTTAGAGTCAATCAATAATTCTTTTTCTTTACCCAAATTGCAAAAGTGATTGGGAGGTAGACAGAGGACCAAGTCAGGTGGATAGGCAGCCTCACTGATGAAGTCAATAGTAGAGAATGTGGTTTAGATGTGCCAGACAAGCAGGCTTGCAAATATCTCACCCTCGAATTAGACCTGCATACCCACTGACTGGCAACCCCAACAGTCACAGTCCTCTTCCATCAAGTGCAGCTAGCCCCTCTAAGTTTGTCACAGGAAGTGGAGCAACCAAGAACACCTGTTCCCTGCAGCCAGGCAGATCCCAAAGGAAAGAAGAGGATAGAACAAGCATACTCAGCTCCTCCCTCCAGGCTCTCCAATCAGCTTCGTGGGAGAGAGGTCATGAGTGGCCTTTATATGCACATCTCTTGGAAACACAGGGAAGGAAGGATGGAAGTTCCCATCCAACGTACAGTATACAAACTTGCCAACATTACAGATTCTCACATAAAAACAAGAACAAATTCTAAGTAAAAATGACATTTAGAATTTCAAAATTATATGCTGATGACCACCTTTTACTCTCAAGTAGCCCTTGACCATTTACAAAATATTTTCACCTCATTATCTCATTGAAGAGATGAAAGAGAAAGAAGGAAGGAAAAAGGGAGGGGTACTGGGAAAATGTTTTCCTTTTTTAAGAAGAAGAAATTGAGGATCAGAGAGGTTAAGTAATATACAAAAGCCACAAGCCAGGAGGAAGCAGAGCTGTTTGAAACACAAGTCTTGATTCAAGTCTATGTTCTGCCTGCCATACTATTCTGATGTTCTGGAAGTCACTGGTAGCCTGAACACAAATTCTCAAGCTATTTATTTGTTAATGGTGACATCTATTAACAAAGTATCAGCCCAGCTTTATCAGACACAAAAGTACAAAGCAAACTTTGTTACAAATAGCTTAAGGGACTATTCCAATTTGCTGATACATTGAATTTTTGCAGCATTGAGTATTAACACTATAGTTGTTAAGATTTTTATGCTCTAGAGTCAAGACTGTCAGGGTTCAAATTTGTGATTTAACTTAACTTCTACATGCCTGTTTCTTCATCTGCAAAATGAGAATAAAATAGTACCTACTTACTCATTGAGTTATTGAGAGAAGTAAGTGATCTGACCCAGGTAACACCCCCGGGCTCATGAAGTCAGAACACATGTTGGCACTTACTGCTATGACCAGATCTGGGTGTGATGTCCAGCTCTACCATGTGCATGTGAGGACTTTGGATAAGGCATTTCACCTCTATGGACCTCCATCTCCTCTTTTAAAATAGGGCTGATCCTACCTGTCTCACAGAGGATCGCTGTACATAGTTGCCCATAGTACATTCTCAAAAAATGGTGGCCATGGTTATAACTAGGTTATAGACTCTTTGAGGGTGGGAAATAGACCTGATTCATTTCTATATCCTTTTACTACAGTGATTTCAACCTCCTCCCCCTTTTTTAAGCAAAACTTTTTTCCAAGTGGTTAAATTAAACAGAAAAAGAATGACTTTTATTCCATCACCCCAGGTGTCTCCACTTCTCACATTCCCTGCCTCCAAACTTCCGGGAGCACCTTCTGAAAACTATGCACTGACAGCATCTGGCACAAATCCTGATGCCCAATAGATGCTCCCGAAGTGTTTGTTGAATGAATAAGTGAATGAACCCCATATAAAACCAGAAATGCATACTTTTCTAAGCACTTTGGCTGACTTTATTTACGGTCATTCAACAATCACTTTTGGAGAAAGAAGATTCCATTTCTGCCCACAAAGAGTGTTCATATGAAGTGTGAGAAAAGGCGGCACTGGACTTGCAAAGATAACACTACAGGTCAGCGGTGAAATTACCATGCAGCCAGGAGCAAGGGCTGGGGGATGATTTAAGGCCATGAGAAGAGGAGGGAGAAAAAGGAAAATCTGTGAGCTGGGCTGGAGAAGAGAGATGTGGGAAGGTGGCATATGTGAACAGGATCCACAGCTGATGGAGCAGTCTGGAATGCCTGACCAAAAGCTACAGGTGTGTTTCTGTAAGCAGGGAGGGAGGAGGATGGAGGGGGGAGCAAACTAGGGCCCATGGCCAAAGCCTCGCCCTCTGCTTGTTTGTGTAAATAAAGTTTTATCAAAACACAGCCATGCCATTCATTTACGTATTATCCAGGGCTGCTTTCGTGCAATAGAGATATCCGGTCCACAAAACCTAAACATATTTGCTATCTGGACCTTCACCTAAAAAAATCTGCCAATCCCTGCACAGGCAAGAGGAATCCAGTAAAAGTTTTTGAGTAGGAGAATGTGATGAAGGTGGTTTGTTTGTTTTTAACAGCTTTCTTGAGATATAATTCACACCCCATACAACTCGCCCATTTGATGTGTACAATTCAATGGGTTTTGGTATATTATATTATTAATTTGTTTTAATTGTGGTAAAATATGATTTTTTTAAATTTAATTAATTTATTTGTCAGAGAGAGAGAGCACAGGCGGGGGGAGCGGCAGGCAGAGGGAGAGGCAGACGCCTTGCTGAGCAAGGAGCCTGACGTGGGACTCAATCCCAGGACCCTGGGATCGTGACCCTTAACCAACTGAGCCACCCAGGTGCCCCCATTTTAATCATTTTGAAGCGTACATCTCAGTGGAATTCCTTACGTTCACAATGTTGTGCGGCCATTGCTGCTATCTACTTCCAGAACTATTCCATCACCCCAAACAGAAAGTCTGTAACCACTAAGCAGTCACTCCCTACCCCACTTCCCCCAAAAGGCCGTGGTCTGTTGAGAGGACTAACTCAGGAGCAGGCAGGATGGGTTTGGGATCTGGTCATCGCAAAAATGGGCAGTGGCGGCCGTGGACGAGGCTTCATGGTCACGTGCCCCCATGATCAAATCATGCTCGGCATCTGATTATTCTAGTTGCTATCCGCACAGCACTTTTGTAAGTTCTAAAGTGTTTGCACATCATTTTTGTGGATACCGTTTCATTTCTTTATTTTATTCAGAAGAAATGAGGTGGTTTTTTCTGTCACCAGCTGGCCGGTCACAGAATCCAGGACCAGAACTCAGAGCTGCCTGGGTCCGGGATGGGAGGCCGGTTGGAGGGAATAAGAAAATCAACACTTAATGAAGAGTCATGTCTTTGCCAGGCACGGTGCTAGGTGGGGGCACACATGGGCCCATTATTTGATCTTCGCTGCCTCCCTGTGAGAGAGGGGAGTCTTCTCTTGGTTTTACAGATGAAGAAACCGAGGCTGGAAGGTGTGACTTGCCCAAGGTCTCATAGCCAGTCAGTGGCGGTGCTGAGATTAGGGAAACCTGTATGGAGGTTGCCAACATTAACTCTCCTCTGTCCCCGTCTCCTCAGTACCTTTTCTCTTCCAGGGGCAACTGGATCGGCGAGGCACCATACAAGATGGGGAGGCCATGTTCTGCCTGCCCCCCGAGTTCCCAAGGCACTTGTATTAGCAACATGTGTTTCTCTGGACTCAAATCCAACAGGCTCCTGTGGTTCTAACTTTTCCCTGGGCCCTGGAGGTGTCTCTTGCCCTCCCCCAAAGGCTCCCTCCCCAGAGACCAGGTGAAAGAATGTAATGGTTTTTTTGTAAAGGACATTATTGGGCTCACTCTACCGATCTGAATTTTCCCTTCTGATTCCTCCGTTCCTGAAATGTCCAGCATGTACCCGAAGAAAACAACCTCCCGGCCTTCTTTCTTTCTTCTTCCAGCTTTCTTCTCTCTGGCTTCCGGGAAAGAGGCCTGCATCTTTCATTGACTCAGCGCTCAGAGAGCTGGGGCTGGACGGAGCTGACCTTCGGGTCCCAAACCCACATGTCTTTGTCCATCCAGTGAAGGCTATTTATTAAACAATCTTTAGCCAGAAACCCACTTTCATTCATCCAATGACAGCCAAACTTCAAGGACTTGTGGTTTGCTCCCTGAGTTGGGAACATTTCAGGTCTGAGCTTCTACAAAAACAATTGAAATTGACTTGTGGATTCAGGCCCCCCTTTTACAGATGGGTATACTGAGGCCACGCAAAGGGGTGTGACCTACTGATAGCCGCACAGCTTGTCCCCAACAGCACCCAGGTCAGAGCTTAGGCCCTGACAAGCCCTGCAGGCTGCTGGACCCCTCTCTGAGCATCAGGACTGGGAGTGCAAAAACAAAGCAGACCCGAGGGAACTGTCTTCTGGGCCTTTTTCTCTTTCTATCACTCCACCTGTCTGTCTGTCTGTCTCTTTATCTCTCCCCCACATCCCCTGTAGAATCTCATTCTCATTCCCATAAACCATTTCCTCTCTCCCCACCCCACCCCACCCCACCCCACCCAGTTATCATGACACACAAAAGTCCTTTTGTTTCCAGAGATAGTAAAATCTCCCCCTCAGACCTTGCCCTCCAGCGGGGGCCCACTCCCTGCCTGGCCAGAGAGCATTCCATTCAAAGACCTGAATGGAAAACAGGCCCCTACATCCTGCTGGATGGAGTGAGTTTTCTTCCCTCTTGGTCATTCCCACTGAGGCCACGGTCCTTGCATGTCAACAGCCACCCCCCCTACCCAGCCCCCAATAAAGTCCTTTTAGATCTGATGCAGTGGCTCTTTCTGGTCCTTCCCCCTCTCAGCTCCCAGAGCGGGTCAAAAAAGGCAGGAAGGAAATTGAGTAGTGGGAGATGGAATGAGGGCAAAACCAGCTCCAGAGAAAGGCCAGGAGAGAGGACTAACAGCCCCTACTTCGTGCCAGGCACGGCAACTAGCTCAGTGCACGCGTGCACGGGTGTGTATTACTATTCCCTTTTACCAGTGAGATAAATGAGGCTTAGTGTGACCGCCCATTTCCAAATGCTAGAAATGAGTGAAGAGAAACATGGATGCTGTTGTGAGTTTATTATTTGCAGATTATATCCTTCCTCTTTTTTTTTTTTTAAGATTTTATTTATTTATCTGACAGAGAGAGGCAGCGAGAGAGGGAACACAAGCAGGGGGAGTGGGAGAGGGAGAAGCAGGCTTCCCGTTGAGCTGGGAGCCCAATGCGGGGCTCGATCCCAGGACCCTGGGATCATGACCTGAGCCGAAGGTAGACGCTTAATGACTGAGCCACCCAGGTGCCTCCCTTTTTTTTTTTTTTGGAGGGAGTATTTTCATTTCTAAAACAATGGTGATAATAAAGGTTAGATTTTTAATTATTAATGTCCTTATACTGAGGGAAAAAACGCTTGCTAGCCCTATGCCAATTTCTTGAAATATTCTGGAAATGTAAGTGGCGTGTGACCCCTTGAATTAAATGGTATGCATAAGGTTGAATAGCTAGTAGGGAGGAGGCATAGGATTTGAATTTAGCTTCATCTGACCTCAAAGCCTGTGGGATCTTGACTTCCCCACATTGCCTTCCTGTGCCTTGAGTACCAGAATGACAATGACAACCACTGGCATTTATGAACTGCTTAGCACACTCTTAAACTCATTGAATTATCACAGCCATCTTGTGTGATAGGTACAGTTCCTATTCACCCTTTACAGACATAACAACTGAGCCTAAAAAAGCTGGATTCAAATATGTTCTGTGTGACTCAGAAGCCCAATGTCTTGACCCATTTTCTTGCTGCCTCTCAACTAAGAAGGGAGAAACTCAGAGATTGGACAAAGGTAGGGACAATTAAGCAAAAAGTGCCAATGTAAGGGGTGGGAATTCCAAATGACCTCCCAGGTTCCCCACTTTTGAAATTGCCCTTGAGAAGAGCCCATGCCAACAGAACAATGAGCAGGCTGGGCTTGCTCAGCTAGTCGAGGTCTGGATACTGCAGACCTGAGGGTGAGGACTCAGGGTGAGGGGGCTTGCTCATAGCATCCTGGTTTGTTAAGATGCTGTTCTCGCTGAAGGGGAACTTTTACTGCAAGAAATCTGTAACAACATTCAAGCCTCTGTAGTATTTTATACTTTTTGAAGATCTTCATAGCCCAATCTCATCTGATTGCTTGTTTGTTCATATGTTCATTCACCGAGAGGGTTAAGAGCATAGACTCGAGTCAGATTGCCTAGGCACAAATTTAACTTAGTGGCTAAGTGTGCCTGGGTAGGTTACAGTGAGCTCTCAGTGCCTGTCTCATCTGTAAGTGGGGACACGAATAGTGCCTCATGAGGGCATTCAAAATATTAAATAAATGAATACATGGAAAGCACTTAGAGCAGTGTCTGGCATATAGTAAATACTATAAAAGTTGTCAGCTCTGAGCGCAGTGGTCACTAATATACAGATCAGGGTGGACAAACTATGGCTCAAAAGCCAAATCTGGCCCACTGCCTGTTTTTATAAATAAAGTTTTATTAGAACTCCGCCATGCTCCTTTGTTTATATATTGTCTATGGATGATTTCATGCTTCAACAGCAGACATGAGTAGTTGCCAGAGACCACATATCTAAAGCCCAAAATATTTACTATCTGGCCCCTTATAGAAAACATTCATTGACCCTTGAGGTCTGTAATGTTCCTATGCTCCTTGAGCTTATAATTGTAATGTAACAGTCAGGCATGAAACAGAAGATGAATACAAGTAATTTATTGTAATGGAAGTAAGTGCCATCTGGGAGAAGAACTGGTAATTACAAGAGCTCAATCTAAACTACAATGGGTAGTCATGTAGGTCTTCTGCAGCGAGATGTTTTCTTTTTTAAAAGATTTTATTTATTTATTTGAGGGAGGGAGAGAGAGCGTGCACATGTACTTGTGTGAGCTTGATTGGGGTGGTGGTGGGGGGAGAGGCAGAGGGAGAGAATCCTAAGCAGACTCTGTGCTGAGTGGAACCTTATGCGGAGCTCGATTCCACGACCCTGAGATCATGACCCAGTGGAAATCAAGAGTTGGATGCTCAACTGACTGAGCCACTGAGGCACCCTGTGAGATGTGTTTTGATGAAGAAGAGAAGCTGGTCAGGCTCCAAGGCAGTAATGACAATGTGGGTGGAAAGCTGGGGGAGAGAGCACAGGGCAAGGTCAGAAGCCTGCTGTGTGAGAAGGAAAGGGAGTGAACTGACCCTGGGAGGGGAGGCAGGGGCCAAGTCAGGAATAATCTTGGAGCTTCCCTCAAGGACAATGGAGAGGCATAGCAGGATTATAACAGTAGGATGACATGTCAGATTTGCATTTGAAAAGATAATTCTGGCTGCATTTGAGGGGAATAGATTTGACAGGGTCAGAGTGGATGCTAGGATCCAGGTAAAAGGCTATTTCAATTGTCCAGGTGAGAAATGAGGATGGCAGGCTGCCTGCGTGGCTCAGTCAGTTGCGCATCAGACTCTTGATTTTGGCTCAGGTCATGATTTTGGGGTCCTGAGGTGGAGCCCCGCATAGGGGTTGGGGGTGTCCACGTTCAGCAGGGAGTCTTCTTGAGATTCTCTCTCTCCCTCTTCCTCTGCCCCTCCCCCCAGCTCGTGCACGTGCTCTAAAGTAAATAAATAAATAAATAGAAATGAGGATGGTTTGAACCAAGATGGCAGCACTGGAGACCGGGAGAAGTGGATACATTTGTGACATGTTTAAGAAGTGGAATTCAAGGGGCACCTGGGCGGCTCAGTCAGTTGGACATCTGCCTTCAGCTCAGCTCATGAGCCTGGGGTCCTAGGTTCGAGCCCCAAGTTGAACTTCCTGCTCATTCGGGAGCCTGCTTCTCCCTCTCCCTCTGCCCCTCCCTGCCCCCACTCACGCTCGCTCACTCTTGCACTCTCTCTCTCAAATAGATAAATAAGATCTTAAAAAAAAAAAAAGAAATGGAATTCAAGGGGATTTTGTAGTGGTTGTTTGGGTGTGAAGGAAGTGGAGTAGATGAGGGTGCCATTTTACCAAGATGGGGAATTCAGGGGAAGGAGTTTCAATGGAAGTGAGAAGGAGGAGTGCAATTAGGGGCATATCATATTTGAGATATCTGTGGAATACAAGTGGAGATATCTAGGAGGCAGCTGGATATATGAATCTGGCCTCCAGAGGAGAAATTTAGGTTGGAGATACACAATTGGGAACCAGGAGTATACAGATGGCCATTGAAACCATGGTAATGAATGTGATTATGGGAGAAGAGATAACAGAATGAAAAAAAAAAGAGAGAGAAGTAAATCTAGAATTAAGCTCCAAGTAACTTCAGTATTTAAGAACAGGTAGAGAAGCATGAAATGTCAAGAGACAGAGAAGGAAAAAAACAGTCAAGAAGGAAGAAATCCAGAAGACTATAGTAGTATGGATGCTAAAGGAAGAGGAGTCAACTATCAAATGCAGTTGCGGTTCCAGTAAAATGTCGTTTGAATGTGTAGGCATGGAACCATTCTATTGCACCAATGAAGACTCAGTGGTGTGTGTGTGTGGTGGCGGGGAGGGATCGGACAGAAACCAGACTGAAGAGGGTAGTGTTGTAGGAGGGAGATGGGAAAGAGAGCCCTGGTGTAGACAGCTATTTTGAAAGTTTGGCAGTGAAAGGAGGAGAGAGGTGAGGTAGTGGCAGAGATGGGGAAGGAAGTTATTTAAGGG